CGCTTGGCCTCCGCCAAGGCCAGCGCGTTGGAGCCCACCACCACGTTGGCGACGTGYGAGTAGTCGTGCGGCGCGGCGGGCTCGGCGCTGCCCAGCACCGCCTGCACCGAGGCGGGCAGGCCGCGCAGCAGGTCGTACTTGGCCAGGATGCGGAGGCAGTCCTGGGCGCCGTGGGCGCTCGCCGCCGTGGGCCCGCTGGCTATGACGTCCACGGGGTCGCCGATCACGTCGGAAAGGATGAGGCTCACCACCTGGCGGGAGAAGGAGCCGGGTGTTCACGTGGGTGGYGGAGATGCCCGTGCGAGAGCACCGACGGAGTTACACCTGCAAAGCACAAGGTTGTCCCTCCCGGGGCTGAAGCTGCCTGCAGGGACAGCTGGAGCCTCGCTCTCCCTTTGGGGCAACTTCCCTGGCTTTGGACAAGATCCTCCAAACCTTCGCAGCCCCCTCTGGGGAGGCCGAGACCTGTGTCGCTTGAGGAGCAGATCCCCCCAAAAAAGGTGGTTCGCCCCATGATGGGCGCAAAGCTTGTGAGCACCGCGTGACCAGCCAAGGGCGCCGCGTTTCGGCCCGCTTACCCGCGCCGGGTGCGCCAGCCGCGCCAGCCCGCCGCCCTTGAGCACGGACAGGGCCTTGCGCACCGCGTTGAGCTCCTGGATGGCGGCCCCGCGGGCGGCCAGCAGCCTCGTGAGCGCCTCCTTCTCCTCGAGGAGCACGGGCGGCGTCGGGGCCGGGAGCAGCGCCGAGCCGCCGCCTGCGGGGCCGAGGTGCCCGCTCCGCAGGGGGACACCGCAGCGGTGCCCGCGCCTTGGGGAGCTGCCCGGGAAAGCCCAGCCCGGGAGAGGGGGAAGCACAAGGAGCCCCAGGGTGATGGCCTCGCCGCAGGGAGACCCGTGCAATTCATGCGGTTGGGTGTTGGAAAGCAGCGGAGCAGGCAAGGGGAAGGATAGAGGGGAAAAGCAAACTGGGTGGGGGAAAAAAAAGGATTGGGAGCGAGATGCGAGCGGAGGGCAAAGGCGGGCAGAAGCATTGCTAAAAGTGGCCRTTAAAGGGCAAAGGCTGCCCCGAGGTTTGGGGGAAGCTGCATCAATAAAAGCGGATGAGCAAGGAGAAGGGGAATAGGGCCAAGGGCTGTGTTTTRGCGGAGAGCCCGGCCGCTGGCGGAGCAGGGAAGGGCTTGGGGCTGCGGGGCTGCCCGCGGTACCTGAGATGAGCACGAGGAGCACGTCGTCGGCGCCCAGCCCCTCGGCCAGCGCGCGGATGGCGCCCGCCGCCCGCAGCGCCGCCGCGTCGGGCCGGTTGTCCCGGGCGCCTTCCATCACCTCGATCCTGCTGCCCGGCTTGAGCAGCATGTCCCTGCGGGCGCGCGGAGCCTGCGTCCCCCCGCATCCCGCTGCGCGTCCCCGCGTGCGCCCGGGGGGTCCCCACCTCCCGAGAGGCCGCCGTGCACCCCAGGGACATCCCGGAGCGCCGGGACCCGCTGGGGAGCCCAAGTGCTGACAGCAGAGGACGAATCCGCGGTGCCGCGCGCTCCTTACCGCATTCCCGCCCGGCGCAGGCTCTCCTGGCCGCCGGCGGGCGCGCTGACGACGCCGCGCTCCAGCCGCTCGCCCAGGATGTCCTCGGCGGCGGCGGCCATGCCGAGCGCGGCCTTGCCAAAGGCCGCGAGGCAGAGGCGGCCGGCGAGGGGCACGGCGCGGCCCT